ATCATATTTAAGAAGAAGCAAAAATAAATAATAGTGTTATAAAAATTTAATAAGGAGGATAATGACCTAAAATCTGACCTTGAGAAACACGACGTGACTTGGCATACCTCTTCATCAACCGATGGAATAGAGACTGTTGACTTTATATAATGGATGATAAAGTACTTAAAAGGACAAGGAAGATTAAGATTATTAAGTAATCCACTAAATCAGACTATTCAGTCACCGTCATAAATAAGACTTTTGATTCACCAAATTGTTTCTGTACCATCCCAAAAAATTCATGAACATACATATTCAAATATACCACACACATTGTACATTAAGAAAATCCCCAAAAACTCTAAGGGTCTGTTTGGAAAGCCACTTAATAATTGGAATTGGTGTAATTACTAGGATAATAATTATACAGCCTAGTAATTACACAATATTATAATTATGATGACCTGTTTGTTTGTCATAATATAATTACAGTGTAATTATAAGTGTACTGTTTGGTTGCACAAGTGTAATGTAATGACCCGACGGTCATTTTGAGCATTTTCACTTCACTCGGTAGTTTGGGGGCACAAATAGCTCCGTATGATGTATTAGAACTTGTGTGCAAAATTTGAGTTCATTTCGAGTTGATTTGATATATTTCGGCGCGTGTTTTGGAAGTCGAAAGTTCGAAAGTTCATTAAGTTCGATTTGAGGTGCGTTTCGTCATTTTGATGTTGTTATACATGATTTGAGGCCTCGAATAGGTCCGTATTATATTATGGGACTTGTTGGTATGTTCGTACGGGGTGCCGAGAGGATCGGGTAAGTTTCAGATATGTTTGGGCTGTGTTGCGCTCGTTTTTCTTATGTTCCGACGTCGTTTCTTCAAGTATAAATGGTACCACATTGAATAAATGAGCTCCGATTTCTGTTTTGATTGAAGCATTAGATCTGTATCGTAATTACGGAGCCATATCAAAAATAATCGTCAAATTTGGTCATCATATGAGGATTTTATGGTCATTTTACTAAGAATTGGGTTGCCAGATTTTTTTTAGATTAATTACGAAATTGTCATTGCTGTGTATTTTAAAATTTGCACTATTTCCAAATATTGAAACTAGGGGTGGCAAAATGGTTCAAAGAAAAACAGTTAACCACCCATATTATCTACTAAAAAATGGGTTGGATAATGAACTTTTTAAAAACGGGTCAAATATGGATAAGAACCATATTATCCATTTAGAAAATGGATAACCAATGAGTAACCAACGGATAACCAATGGGTCTAACTTTTACATTTGTAAAGCCTCAAATTGGGGGTTCCTCAAGTTAGGGAGATTAAGAATTCTCCCAAAAGTGATCATATACAAGAAGTCATGGATAATATGGGTAACCCATATTATCCCTGCCGGTTAACCCATTTTTTATCCGTATTAAATATGAGTCGGGTCGGATAATTGATCCGTTTTTTCATTACCCGTTTTCGACCCGAACCATATCCGACCCGACCCGCCCATTTGCCACTCCTAATTGAAACCAACATATCTCCTTCAATATAAGGTCAAATTGAGTAATTCAAGAGCATAATTTGACTAGAATTTCACAAGGAATCCATTGGAGACATCAAAAGTGAGTTTTGAGATTTTTTGGTACGAGAAACGAAGCAAAACAATGTTAAAATGAGGGTTTTATTCATATAATATATTTTGAGTTGGGGAGCTCGAAATTGGGCAATTTTCGAGGCGATTTTCAACATATGTATTGGGATAAGTGTTCTTTACTCAATTTTGGTAATACTTTATTAATCTATCTTTGATTTTAGCTTTTGGTTGATGAATTTTAAAGAAGAAATTGGGGGGCTCTGGCCTAAAGTTTCATTATATGAATTTTTGAGTTTTGAATACCAATTTTGGGTCAGATTTGAGTGAAACTAGTATGGTTGAACTCGTAATTGAATTGGTTGTCGGATTTTATGAGTTTTGTCGGGTTTCGAGGTGCGGGCCCGGGTTGGGCTTTTTGGCCGATTTTGGGCTTTTGATTAAAGATTTGACCTTTTTCGATTGGGATTGGTTCCTTTAGCATTATTTGATGTATTTGAGTTGTTTTTTATTAGTTTCGAGTCCTTCAAAGGTCGAAACGCGCGGGATGGCATTTTTGGAGCATCGCTTGGCTTGCTCGATATTAGAATTGGTTTGTTCGAGGTAAGTAACTCTTCTAAACTTAGTGTTGAGGGTATAAAACCCCACAATATGTGTTATGTGATTGGTATTGAGGTGATGCACATGCTAGGTGACGGACATGTGTGTGTTCACCCTGTGAATTGGGATTCCATTGTTCCCATGGCCCTGTATAGTGGCCCTATTTTGTTGATATTTGTGTTTTCACCTTGTGATAAAGTAATTGAGTTGTCAATCATGCTAAACATCATGTTTAGACTTCATGCTGATATTATTTGTACTCATAGGGGCTATTTCTGGTTGTTATCTCACTGATTTCCATTGATATTTTTGTACTCAGTCACATTCATACATTCATACCATATCTCAATCTTAGTTGTTTGTAATTGATACATCATATCATTGTTGTCGGGCTAGATTCATGACATTGTGTGCCCATGAGTAAGACTATAGAGATTGATGACTGAGTGAGCGAGGGCCTGAGTGAGAGTGATATTTTTTGGACCGGACTGCACACCACAACATATTATATCTATTATACTTTATGGGATCGGGTTGCACGCCACATCGATATATATATTATACACCGCTGAGTGACTTAGTGTGCTGAGTATTGAGCTTCGTGAGAGAGGATACGAGGCAATGAGATTGAGTACTCTGAGAGTGTGAGTACATGTTTCAGCTTTGAAATACGTGGCATTTACATGCATACATGATATACACACATAGAGATGCATTTTTCCTAATGCTATATAGCATCACGTCATTCATGGCTTATTATACACTTGATATGTGGGTATGGAGAGGCACTTTATACTTGGTATTTGGAAAGAAATTGAAATGTATTATTTATTGTAAAAAGGATATTTGAAAAATTACAGTTTTCAAACTTACTCGTACTTTTGGCATTTTCGGTAAGAGATTTGGGATTTTATTTCACTGAGATATTTGAAAAGCATGACCATTTTCTGGAACTGTGAACGAGCTGAGTATTTTACTGTTGAGATATCTTTTTTATAATCGCATTTATATTGTTATGAACTATTGTGGAAAATATTGGCATTGGACCCGATCATGTGTTAGCTCGTCACTGCTTTCAACCTAATGTTAGGTCTGTTACTTACTCAGTACATGGGGTCGGTTGTACTGATACTACACTTCTGCACATTGCATGCAGATGTCGATTTTTGTTGTTGCTATGCTCGATGGTTGCGGGACTTGAAGATGTACCAACGTCCCTGTTGTAGCTGCCTCCTTTGTTCGGGGTAGCCTTAGCTTATAAAACTCTGTTTATGTATTTTTCAAACAGACTATGTATTTCTTTCATTTCTAATTTGTAAACTCTATTCTTAGAGGCTTATGATTTGTAAACTCTGTTTAGTTGGCTTACCTAGTGGGTTGGGTTAGGTGCCATCACGACTGGTGGATTTTGCGTCGTGACAAGTTGGTATCAGAGCTCTAGGTTCATAGGTTCTACAAGTCATGAGCACTTGTCAAGTAGAGTCTTGCGGATCGGTATGATGACGTCCATACTTATCTTCGAGAAGCTACAGGACATTTAGGATATACTTCCCATCCTTCTTTCCGTATTGTGCGGCATTGATTCAGCTTGAAGTGTAACTCTTTGAATTCCGTCCACGCATTCGTATGCGCATATGAGCGCTCGGTATCAATTGTGCATCGACAGCTTGTGATTCCATGGTTGAGGTGCGAAATATGATTTTGGCGTGCTGATGATGGGCCAGTCTAGAGGACTTGAGGCCGGGTTTCGATTGTAGCTTGAGCATAGAGGTGTTGATTGTGTGAGCATGTGCTTTTGGATTTATATGTCCGGTAGTATCCCTATTAGTGGAATTTGTGGCTGGATGGCTACGTGATGAGTATGATTTGATTGCGAGATGTGTTCAGATTGTTCGAATATGACAAGAAGAGTTTGCTGGGGATGTAGCAAGGACTATTGGGTGTTTGACTTCTGTGTTGAGTTGGCATATGGTCTCGAGCTATGGGTGTTGTGAGCACCTAATTTTTGCCCTGCATGAAAATAACTCCTAAAAATAGACCAAAATAATTTTAATTAATTTTTGGGAGTTTTTCTTTATTTAGTTGCATTCCATGCATTTTTAATATTTTAAAATCATAGAAAAATCATAAAAATTGTCATGTTTTAATTTCATTCCATCTCAGGTTCAATTTGCATGTAGGAATTAATTTTATTAAGTAAAAATCACAAAAAATGATCATTTTTACATATTTAGATTTTAGTCTTTAAAATTAGCATTTTTTAGTTTTAAGTTAATTAGTTGTTTTAATGTTAAAAATAAATAAAGAATTTTAATTTCTACAAAAATAGATTAATTTAGGATTTTAATTAATTAAAGAAAAAAAATGGGAAAAACAAATAAAAGAAAGGGATTTTTTCCTATCTATACCATATATGAAACCTTATTACCAAAAATGTTCATAATTTGTTAGTTACCCGCCCAGTCCACACTTTTACTACAATTTATATACCAATCCATAATTAGGCAGATTCTGCCATTTAAAACGCGCTAAAAAGAAGGCACGAAATCTGCGTTTGATTCTTTCCACATTAAATTCGAATTTTGAAACGGAAAGAGATCTCATTGCTGCGTAATTCTCTCATTCACTACAATTCTAAAACAACGCAAGCTTCAGAAGCTCCAGTACTCAAATTGCTTTTACAAATTCTACAACGCAATACAAATTGTAGAATTCAAAATTATTCTTCATCGACCTCAGTACTCAAATTGTCGAACCTATATCTGTTCTTCATCTTTTTTTTCTCAACTACATGAAATCATGTCAAAAATCCCAATAATGCTAAAATTGAATGGAAATTGGGATCACTATGGCAGATTTAGAGATTTTGAAGTTGATGCCATTGTGGTAGATGAGAATGCAAGCTACGGAATTCTGATTTCTACAATTGCAGAACAACTATCGATTGATACATCGGATAAAATTGTAGAAATCAAATACATTGTGAACGACAATTGTCCTCCAATGGAGATTAGAAATGATATGGGGGTTCGTGTGTATATGGAGACCAAAAAGGAGAATAAGAACTTAGGTTCGTATCCTTTATGTATAAGCGTAAGAGATTTCAATATGGAATTGGCAATCACCAACGATAGCACAAGTGCAGGTATGTTTAATTCGACATTGCAGAGAGTTATTGTGTTAGTGTGTTATCTACAATATTACAACATTTATCTACTAATTAACTACAAAAAACAATGTACTGAAGCTCATAAAGCAATGTTGTTTTCAAAATTATCTACATAGTTACTACATTTATCTCTATGTTGCTGCAGGTTCGTCTGGATCCCTAAACTTACTTGAAATTCCATCTTCACCAGCTATAGAGGAATATCAAAGTGAAATAATAACTGAATCTACGCAAACATATATTGAAGAAGGACAAGTTTATCAGGACAAGCAAACTGTAGTTGTTGCAATGAAGAATTTTTCTGTGATGCACAAGTTCCAGTTCAGAGTAAAAAGATCTAGTCATAGAAGGTATGGATTTATTTGTGGAGAATATATTAGTAAAAGCGGTGTTTTAGTGAAGATATGTGGTTTTTATAAATTGTAGTTTAATTGTAGTTAAACTGTAGTTAATTGTAGTTTTTAACGAATTTGTGTTAAAACAGTCCTTTTTGTTGCTTCTACATCTATAGCCTGTATTAAATACTGTATTTTTTTTGTATCTACTGGCTTATATGCGTTGCTGAAAACTGTAAATGGCACTTCAAGGCAACGTCAATTAATGATTCGGCAATGTTCAAGATAAGGAGTTTCAGCCGACAACACACATGCTCCTTATTGGACGAAACATTCATACAGCGCAAACGTACTGCAGCTATAGTTGGTAGCATGGTCGTTCCAAAGTATTGTGATCCTAAGACTATTTACACACCAAAGGACATACAAACTGACATGTTATCCGAACATGGACTGAACCTAAGTTACATGCAAGCATGGAGAGCCAAGGAAAAGGATTTACAGTTTTTGAGAGGGAATCCGTCTGACTCCTACAGCAAATTACCCAAATATTTTTATATTCTTGAGGAGACTTATCCTAGTTCTGTTGTTAAATTGAAGAAGGCAGCAGATGATTGCTTCTTATACGTGTTTGTTGCCCTTTGTACATCAATAAGTGGTTGGCAACATTGTAGGCCAATATTAGTGGTTGATGGGACATTCTTAAAGTCAGCCTACAGGGGGATTATGCTTACAGCAAGCACCATGGATGCAGCAGGTAAATAATGTAATAATTTTGTAGTTATTTTGTAGGCATTCTATAAAATGTAGTTAAATTGTAGTTATATTGTAGTTATTTTCTAAAGGAAAAAAGTGTAGATTAATTGTCTATATTCTGAATATATATTGTAGTTGTTATTTAATTATATTTTTATATACCTTTTCAGGGCTGCCAATTAATATTTTATGAATTAAAAATGTAGGTACTATATTTCCCTTGGCATATGATGTGGTTGATTCTGAAAATGACGCGTCTTGGAAGTGGTTCTTTGAGCAATTCAAGGAGGCATATGGTGAAAAACCTTCAATGTGTGTTGTTTCAGATAGGAATGAGAGTATACTGAAGGCAACATCAATTGTCTATCCGGGCATGCCACACTACTCTTGTATGTGGCATATTTGGACAAATATAAGGTCCAAATTCAAGAAGGGACATTTACAATTACATGAATTGTACTTTGATACAGCACGGTCATACACTCTGGATGAATTTAATGAAAGGATGTTGAAGATTGAAGAGGTAGACCCGCGTGTGAAATCTTACCTATATGATATTGGCTATCATAGATGGTCAAGAGTACATGCAACAGTGAATAGAACTTTTACTATGACATCAAACATTGCCGAGCCGTTGAATGCTATAACAAAAGAGGCAAGAGAGCTGCCAATATTTGATCTATTAGAGTATATGAGGACGCTTCTTGAATGTTGGACGAAAGAGAAGTTATTGAAGGCAAAGGGTACTTTCACATACCTTGGGTACAAATTCAACAAAGAATTGGATGACAACAATACATTATCTCAGAAACTAAGGGTAAGATTTGTTTGTTTGGTGCAAAAAAAAAAAGCTTAATATGCATTGTTTCCAGATTGTAGATAAACTGTAGTCAAATTGTGGGTAATTGTAGATTGTAGATAAGTTGTAATGTATTTGTAGCTGATTTGTAGGTAAGTTGTGGATAATCCTTTTTAATGATTGATATATTATTATTTCTGTTTGTTCTTCAATTGTAGGTGAGGGCTTCAACAGATCATATACATACTGTGTTAGATGGTGTGAAGCGGTACATTGTGTGTCTAGAAAACAAGAAATGTAGCTGCGGACAATTCCAACTTGATGAACTTCCATGTGCGCATGCTTTGGCAGCATTAAGGCACAGGAAGGAAACATACGAAAACTATTGCTCTCTGTATTACACAAGGAAGAGCCTTCTTCTTACCTATGAAATGCCAGTAAATCCTCTTCCTAATGAAAGCAAATGGGATGTGCCACAACATATTTTGGATGAGGTAGTAAAGCCACCGGCGGGAGATAAAAGGCAGCCAGAGAGACCTCACAAGGAAAGATATAAAACATTTGATGAAATAAAGTCAAAGAAGTACAAGGTCTCATGTGGAAATTGTGGAGGCGAAGGGCATAACAAAAGAACTTGCAAGAATACGCCCAAAAAGAAATGAATATCATGTAGTTAGAATAGTTATTCAAAATAAATGTTAGTGAGTTCAAATTATCTGATTTTTTTGTGTAATCGTTCAAGTTTTTGAAAATGATTATGAAGTATACTACAATTTGTGTATTTGCGTTTAATATGATTTTATGTATTCTGTCAGGCATCTAAATTTGTCTTTTTTTATAGCTTAGTTAAACTTTAATATTTACTATATACAAAACAACTAATATTAATGAAGAATTCATTCAATGTAAACTGTTTCCAGATTGTAGTTAAAATGTACTTTAAATATAGTCTAGTTGTAGTCCTGTTAATAATTTGTAGATAATTTGTAGTTTAAATGTAGTTTAAATGTATTTAAATTGTTGTCTTGTTAATAATTTGTAGATGATTTGTAGATTAATTGTGGATAATTTATTTATATGATTCCTGTATTTATTTCATGTTTTGGCTGTGTACCTTAATTACAAATGACAGTTATATACAGAAATTACCTAGAACTTGAAGGTATTTCATAAAAATTACTTGAAGATTAAAGGCAAATTGTATTCTAGCAAATCAGAGTACTCGAGTTTAATGTAATGAAGATAAAGTGTTGTAAACAACCAAAATGACATATTTCCTACAGTGTATTCCACTTCAACTACAAAATGACATCAACTAAACTAGGAACACAAAACTCTATTTCTTCTTTCTCTGTACTCCAGTCCTCTCATTTTTAGCAGGAGCACCCTTCCTCCTTACTAGCCTGCCTGTAACCTCACTTTCACTGATTGACCCATCTTCTTGCTTCTTTGTAGCATAGCCCCATAGTAGAGCTCCGTAGCGTCTACAGTGTTGGTCGATATCAGAAAGATCTTCTTTTGGGATTGCCAAATCTCCAAGGCTAACATACTCCGCAAAAGCCGCCACAAATACACCACAATCGCTGCATAAGATCAAATTTTTTTATTATGTAACAATTGATTAAAATAAAATAATTAAACATATAGAAAGGGAGAATAGTTTTTTTACAGTGACCCTTCCTTTTGTTGTGGAATCTCCGCAACCATCCACTGTATGTTGAGAGGGTCTGTAACTGGTTTCTCAATGTATGCCTTTGTGGTCTTGAAGTAAATGTCATTACGTTTCCCGTAGAAACTAGTGCAAGACAAATACAGAGGGATAATAATTGAAAACTTATCAACCAATGATTCAACAATATTATGACGGTTTGAAGACACCATGGAATCATAAACATAAAGTTGCCTGTCTGCTATGTCGAAAACGAGCAATAACCAATGGAAATTCTCTACAATGTTCACAGGCATGATGACATAGTCAACTACATCCCAGGCAACATTAGCAAGAAGTCTATACCCAAGGATATATTCTGCAACATCATCATCTGATTTAACAACCGAATACTTAAGTCCTGGTGGAGAACTTTTGAACTTGTCATAGATTCGTTCAATCTTGGTCCTAAACAAGCAATCGGTTGTTGTGAACCTAGTGTCGTTGTTGGGGCCATACTTGCCTCTTTTTCTCAAATAATACATAATAACATCAATGTGCTGCAAAATAAAATAAAATCTACTATAAGATACAAAGTAACCACAATTATTTACATAACAGCTACAACTTAAACTACAATTTGAACTAATCAAATAATCTAACAGATTGCTACACTTTAGCTACTATACAGAGGAACAAATTCAACAGTTGAAGACAAAACATAGTAACCTATATATCTTGTCTACAATATAACTACAATTACACTGCACAACTGAAGACAAAACTACAATATAACTATAATTACACTACACAACTGAAGACAAAACACATATTGTGAAGGATTATGTTCTTTATACTTACCGTGTTATTGATGACTTGTCCTGGGTGAGCAAGGGCATAAAACCAGTCCTTCTTATCCACCTTTTCACAACCAAAGTCTAACCAAGGCTTGATTTGGTTATCCTTTTTGGAAAAGTATTCTTTCCTCCTGTAATAACAAAAAAATATCAAATAAAAAAAATGACAGAATGAATTACATATTTAAAGTTTAAAAATGGTGAAATGAAAGTGTAAAATTAAGCATTCATACCTCTTAGATACTTTGTCACTACGAAGGTATAACCAGTTGGTGAACCTTTCTATCAAATCAGCATCTACATTTTCACCTATAACAGTTGTGAAGGGGTGTTTGAGGTAGAAAAATTTAGGTC